CCCCCCCCCCCCCCCCCCCCCCCCCCCCCCCCCCAGTCAGGGGCAGCCCAGTTCAGAGACCCCCAAGGTCACTGGGGGAGGGAGGGGGCGGGGGGGGGGCTGATGCGGCCCCCTGTAGCCTCCTGACAGCGTGTTTCTTCTTCCTCCTCCTCCTCCTCCGTGGCAGTACGCTCGCATGGTGGAAGTGGTTGGGATGCATGATCTCGGTGTGGGCATCACCCTCGGTGCCCACCAGTCTATTGGCTTCAAGGGCATCCTCCTCTTTGGAAACAAGAGCCAAAAGGAAAAATACCTCCCCCGGCTGGCATCTGGTAGGCTGAGTGCCACTCCCCCCCCCCCAACCAAAGCGGCTGAGCCAGGGGCACCCCAAGCGAAAGGACTAGGCGGAGGGGCAGCTATGCCTGGCATGAGCTGAGCCAGGGAGGGGCAGGAGTGGGCCCAGATCTCAACACACAATGCGCCTGTATGTGTGAATATCTGCTAGGTCTGGCCTCTTGCTCCCCCCCCCCCTAAAAAAACCATGGATGGAGGCAAAAATTAACCCCTCGGGACCATTTATGAAGGCCAGAGAGCCGCAGGTATTAGGAGGGTGGGGTCTTTGGAGGGTATAGGGAGGGACGGCCCTTGGCAAGGGTGTCTCCCCTCTCTTGTCCCAGGTGAAGCGTGCGCGGCCTTCTGCCTGACCGAACCATCGAGCGGCTCGGACGCAGCCTCCATCCAGACGGTGGCTGAGCTCAGCCCCTGCGGGGGCTTCTACACACTCAATGGGAGCAAGATCTGGATCAGGTGAGGAGCAGGAGTGGGGAGGGGCTGCCGAGCTGGGCGGGGGAGGGGGGGATCTATGCCATGGGTGGTTCCCAAGCTGGTCCCTGGGCTCCATGGCTGGTGGCCGGCCGTTAGCCTGGGCCACCTCACTTCCCTTCCAGCAATGGGGGCACGGCCGAGGTTTTCACGGTGTTTGCCAAGACTCGCATCAAGAATGTCACCACGGGGGAGGAAACGGACAGGATCTCGGCCTTCATAGTGGAGAGAGCCTTTGGGGGGGTGAGCAGGTGAGTCGAGGGGGCCCTGGGAGAGGGAGGGGCTGCAGTGGCCCCAGTGGTCAGCCCTGGGCGAGTGGCCTTCCTTCCCCTCCCTCGTCCACTCTGAAGGACATCACCGTCCCCTTCGGTGTGGGAGGGGGCCGCTGCCTCTGCAAGCCCCTTATCCATCTGAGGGAGCGGGTGGGCCGCCCAGCAGAGCCAACTCTGACGGGCAGCTGCAGCCTGCCTCGCTCCCTCTGTGCCCTGCAGCGGCCCTCCGGAGCAGAAGATGGGCATCCGTTGCTCCAACACGGCTGAGGTGCACTTTGAGGACGTGAAAGTGCCCGCGGAGAACCTGCTGGGAGGACTCGGCAGAGGCTTCCAGGTGGCCATGCACATCCTCAACAACGGCCGCTTCGGCATGGCTTCGGCACTGGCCGGCACCATGCGCGGAGTCCTCCTCAAGGCGGTATGTTGGCAAGGAATCTGCGATGCCTGCAGCAGGGGGGGGGGCTGGGCCAAGAGGCCCCCAGCCTCTCAAGGTTCCTCACTCTGGGTCTGCGCAGGTGGATCACGCGGCCGACCGGCAGCAGTTTGGAAAAGCCATCAGCCGCTTTGGGGTCATTCAGGAGAAGCTGGCACACATGGCCATGCTGCTCTACGTGACCGAAGTGAGTACGGCCGGCCAGGCCCCTCTTGGGTGTGTTCCCCCCCCTCCCCGGTCCCTCAAATGGTATAGCCTCACCTGCAAGATGGGCTTCAGGTGGCTGCCCTGGACGCTCCCCCCCCCACTTGAGGGGTGGCACAGCCTCGGATGGCAGGGCCCCGGAGTGAAGCTGTCCATCTGCCCCTTGCAGGCCATGGCCTACGTGCTGAGTGCCAACATGGACATGAAGGTGCCCGAGTACAAGCTGGAGGCGGCCATCAGCAAGATCTTTGCCTCCGTAAGTGGGTCTGGTGGGGGGCAGCCCTGCTTCCCAGGAGAGGATGAGCAGCCGCTGTGGAGACTTGCCCTGGTCCCCAGTGGGTGGAGGGAAGTGGGGCAAGGCAGCTGGCACCCTGCTGCCTAAGTGGGCCCCCGGCTGGCTCTGGCCAGATCTCCACAGCTGGTCAAGGGGCCTTCAGCTGCAGCCCCAGAGGCTCTTGGAGCCGCAGCTGGGGATCCTGCTTGGCCATGGGGGAGGTGTGGGGGGGTGGGCTGAGCCGGTCAGCCTTGCTATCTGTGTCCTCAGGAGGCGGCCTGGACTGTGACTGACGAAGGCATCCAGATCCTGGGGGGGATGGGGTACATGAAGGTAGGTGCCCACTGGGATGGGCGGGGGTCTCCCGGCTCAGGGCATGGGCTGGCTCCTCCCAGGCCGGGTCAGGGCCCAGCAGGACCCCCTGCAGGTGGCTGCTTTCCCTGGGCAGGAGGCCGGCGTGGAGAAAGTCATGCGCGACGTGAGGATCTTCCGCATTTTCGAGGGCACCAATGACATCCTCCGCTTGTTTGTGGCTCTGTCGGGCATGGAGGCAAGTCAGGCCGTCTAAGGAGGCCAGCGTGGTCCTCTCGGGCAGCCCTTCCAGGACAAGCCTGAAGCCCTGGGATCTCTCCCCAGACACCCCCCCTCCCCCCCCCGTGAGAAGCTGCTTCTGGGTGGCTCTGGGGGTGCGTGTGGCTGTAACGGAGAGAGCCCCCTTCAGAGTCAGCCTCCCCACGGCTGAGCGTGCAAAAGCCTTTCCGCTCCTTTGCAGTTTCCACAGCCAACCGCTACCCACCCCCCCATCAGAGGCCCCCCCCTTACAGCCCTGGCAAAGCGCCCCCCCCCCGCCCATGGCTGCCTGGGTACCCAGGAAGGCTCTTGTCCCTGCCCGCTTGCTGGGCTGCAGCATCCCCCTCCCTGGAGCACAGCCACCCCGCCCCAGCGCCCTGGGTGGGTGAGGGGAGATTGGGGGCAAAACCTGCTCTCTGTTCTCAGTATGCTGGGCAGACGCTGAGCGCCCTGCGCAAGGACCTTTCCAACCCCCTGCTGCACATGGGATCCATCTACAAGGAGGTGGCGATGCGAGCGAAACGGTGAGACTCCCCCTGGGGGACGTGGGGGTCTCCGGAGGCCCCCCAGCAGCCGCACTCCCGATGCCCCTGCCTCCGCCAGGGCTTCCAAGGCCTGCTGCTGATTCCCCGCCCCCAGGGCCACGCCCCTATTCAGCAGAGGCCCCGCCCCCTTTCTCTCCTGCAGCAAAGTCGGGGTCCCCACTGGCCAGACGCTGCAGGACCTCGTCCACCCACAGCTGGAAAACTCGGCTGCTCTGGTGAGAGTCCCGGGAGAGGCCCATCGGGGCGGGCAGCCACCTCTGGGCAGCCAAGAGCCTGCTCCACGCTCCTCTGTCCGAAGATACCTCCCATGCACGGGGCCCCATGGAGCCTCCACCCCAGCCCCGTTTCTCTCCTCCCCCGGAAGGTCACCAGAGCTGTGGAGCTGTTTGGCGAGACCATCGAGGGCCTCCTCTTGAAGTACGGCCCAGCAGTGATGGGTACGGGCCCCGAGAGCAGCGGGTCTGCCAGGCATCCTGGGTGCCCATTGGGTGCCCACTCCTTTATGGCACCCAGAGGCCTCTACTGGATCTCAGGGCTGGCACCACGCGGAGACCTTGGCCAGCCTGAATCTCTCGGGTTGGGGGGGGGAGGAATTTGCTGCCCCAGCCAAGGCACAGAGACAGATGTTTCCACTGGGGAAATGGGGGTGGTGGTCCCCGAGGGACCCACAGCAGCATCAGGAGTTGCTGCAGAGGAGGGTGGAGGGCGGTGCTGGGTGAGGGCTGCCCAGGGGCCTGACCCGCCCTTCCCGGATTCTCTCCAGACAAGCAGTTCCACCTGAGGCGCATTGCAGACGCCGCTATAGACACCTACGCCATGGCCGTGGCCTTATCCAGGTAGGAGGGAGGGGGTGGGGCGGGAAGCAGGTCCCTGCAGAGCCAGCCTCACCCGTCTCCTCCGCCCTTTCAGGGCCAGCCGTGCCCTCTCCCTGGGCCAGCCCACTGCCCAGCATGAGAAGCGCTTGTGCCAGACGTGGTGCCAGCAGGTAAGACGGACAGGTGCAGCTCCCGGGCTCTGCTCGCTTTGGGGCAACGCCGCTTGCCTGGTGGGTTCCTAGTTTTGGGGACCCCCTGCCAGAGCTTTCATCCTCTGCCTTCCGCCCCTTCTCTCTCCCAGCCTGCTGTCTCCTCCCAAGCTATGGGGCGGGAGGCAAGAGGGAGCATGACGGCCCCTGCTTCCTACCCCATCAGTGGGAATTGGGGGGGGGGGGTGTTAGGCTTCCGCAAAATGCCTGGCGGTGGCCACAGAATCCTCCAGGCGTCTGACCTCAGCTGGGGACCCTCTTAGAGCCCAACCAGACCAGTGCGGAAGACCCACCAGGGACCCTTGCCTAGGCCTCGAAGGAGCAGCCCCCTCACCTCGGATCACGACTTCTCTGACTGGCCTGGAGATGTTCCAGGGTATCCGCCCCCTCCCGCTTGATCCAGCACCACTGAGCAGGGGGTCTTCAAAAGAAGGACCGGGGGGGGACATGCTAGCAGCCCTCCAATATTTGAGGGGCTGCCCCAAAGAAGAGGGAGGCCAGCTGCTCTCCAAAGCAGTTCTCCGAGCCCCAAAGGTGCTTTTTCCAGGCGGCAGCTGGACTTCCTGGTTTTTCTGAAGATGTTTCGCTTCTCATCCAAGAAGCTTTTTCAGCTCTTCAAACACCTTCCAAGGAAAAACAGGAAGTCCATTTGCCTCTTGAAAAAAGCACTTTTAGGACAGGCATCATAACCTGGATGACATAGAATCTCCTTGGGAAAAGCACCTGAAGGCAGGACGAGAAGGAATGGATGGAAACTAATCAAGAAGAGTATCAAGAAGAGGAGAAACTTCTGGGCCCTCAGAACAATTAATCAGTGGAACAACTTGCCTTCAGAAGTTGTGGGTGCTCCAATGCTGGAGGTTTTTAAGAAGAAATTGGGCACAAGGCCTCTTGCTTGAGTAGAGGGTTGGGCGAGGTCCTTTCCGACTGTGTTAGCCATGGGGATAAAAGCATGGCTTCCACCCCTTTGTGCCAGAAGGGCACCATGGTGAGAAGAGTGGCCAGGTCCTACAGAAACATTGTCTTCACTTTGGAGTGTGTCTGTGTGTGGGGGGGTTCCTCGGGTGGCCTGATCCAGGCTTCTCTGTCTGCGTAGGCCTTCCTCCGGGTGCAGGCATCTCTGCAGGAAGCCAAATCCGCCAGCTGGGAGGAGGTCTTCACCAGCATGAAGCTGATCTCGGACGCCATGGTGCAGCACAGGAGCCTCGTGGCTACCCATCCCCTGGGCTTCTAGGGGTTTTGTTTAGCATGGAACCAAATAAAGGCTTATATTATCCTTCTACTAAAGCGGTCGTCTTCACGTGGTTTGCTGATGTCTCTGCCCTCTTGTCCAGATGTGAAAAGCGGACAGCTCTTCACATCTGGAGAACTGACTGACTGGCATTCAAGGTGCACGAAGCCGGTTCCCTCGCTTGACCCGCAAGGAAGCCCAACAAAGGAGGAGTTAAAAGTACAAGTGAGGAAGAGGCTAAAGGGCTTTTTTTTTAGTTTACTTTAGAATATGATTGATAAGAGATTTGTACCCTGTATTTGCTCTGGGAAGTTGGGGAGAGGGCTCAGAGGTGGGGTCAGGGGGGGAAGGTATATATTTGTAAACCTCTTTAAAAAATTGTGTTGTTGTGTTGTACTCTGCTCTATTTTGCTCTCTATTCCATTCTATTCTTCACAAATGTTTGGACAGGTTGGGGGGCGGGGTGGGGTGGGGGAGGGGAGGTAAATATTTGTAAACGTTTTTTAAAATTTTCAAAAAAAAAGAAGAGCTATATTAGGATAAGTAGATTTTAACATTTACGCTCTATACGTTGCCACTTTAGCCATGAAAGTCAGTTGGGTGACGGCGACAGTCACCCTCACAGGGTGGTTGTTGTGGGGAAAGGAGGAAGGCTGTTATGCTCACCGACTCGAGTTCTTTGTAAAAATTATAAAACCGTGATAGAAATAAATACATTTTCTGTTAGGAGTGAGTTTTGCTTTGCCAGAGCTCTTCAGGTACGCTATGATCTCTTCCAGCCCTCTGATTCCAGGAATTAAGTGGGTGTACTGGAATCGGGGTTGAAGAGGCTGGTTCCTCCAGTTTAACAGCCCCCAGCAATTCCCCAAAACAAGAAGAGGCCGGACTACCAAGCTGAAAGAGGCTTAACTGCCTGCAGGCTGAATTCAACCCAGTCCAGCCGGCTTAGTTGGGTTCAGTGAAAGTCACAGGTTTTGGCCTGTGGGAGTTTTCTTTTAAAAAATAAAAAAATTATTGAATGTTTTAATCTTTAAAAACAGAAAGAAAAACACCACAAAAATAAAACACAACATACATAATATGAAGTAATTATACAGCCTTCTGTATCAGCTTTCCTGTTTAGCTTTTATAACTCCCCATTCTGCATTCTCCCCATTGCTTTAACCTTGTCCTATAATATAACAACAATAGTGCTAACACTTATAATAATATTGATTATTTATATCACCATATATTTGCATTCTCTATTTTGTTTTGGCTTCTGTTTTCTAGCCATTTATAAATTTTATTCCATATTTTATAAAAATCCAATTCTTCTTTCTTTTAGATCTATTGTCATTTTGTCAATCTCTGTACATTTGAGTACTTTGCTAATTATTATTTCATCTGTGGGTGTATTGATTTTTCCCCCCGTTTTGTGCAAAAGTAATCCTGGCTGCAGTGAGTATGTGTATGATTATGTATTGAGATTGTTTACCCATTTTTTTGGTCTAGTAGTCCTAATAAGAAAGCTTCTGGTTTCAGTTCGATTTTTTGCTGTGTAATTTCTTCCAACCATTTCCGGATTTTGCACCAGTATTTCCTTGTGATGGGGCACGTCCACCACATATGGTAAAAAGTTCCAGACTTGTGGCTACATCTCCAACATTTGGGGGATAAATTTGGGTACATTTTGGCCAATCTCACTGGAGGCAAATGCCATCTATAAAATATTTTATACAGGGTTTTTTTGTAAGCTGCTTTGTAAATTTATAATTTCTTTCCCATAATTTATCCCATTTTTCTAACGCTATATTATGGCCAAAATTTCTTCCCCAGCTAATCATTTCTCCTTTACCGTCTCTTCCTTCATTTTATATCTTAAAAGAAAATTATGCAATCTAGTAATCATTTTTCCTCCCGTTCCTAATAATATTTGATCTGCTTCCATTTGTTTCTCACGTATTCCGTATTGTTCTCAATCTTTTTTGAATCTTGTTTTAATTTGTAAATAGGGCCACCATTCCATATTAATTCCTTGTATTTTCAGATCTTGTACCGATTTTAGTTCTCCTTTTTCATCTAAGAGTTCTGCATAACTTACCATTTTGCTGAGATCTATAGTGTTTGGGTATGTCGTTGCCTCCATCCCTTGATAGCCAGATTGGGATTTTCACACAGTGGAAATTTTTCCTGTTTTCCCCCAGGCCTTAAACATCCCTCTTACTGGGTGCCTCTGGAGGTAGGAATGAGGTTTATATTCTTTCCCTCCCAGAGGAAGCCATGCCAGCCTAGTTGGAGATCATGGCCTTCTAGCATAAGAATCCTTTTACTTTTTTTAGTTGAATCCAGTCCTTGAGCCGTGTCAGGGCTGCCGCCTGATAGTAAGAAAGCTCCCAGTCTTTGTAGGCCAAAGGCCACCCTTGTTTCTACGGTCTGGTAGAAGTTTGTATTTAATACGCGGCTTTTTCGCCTGTGGGGCAGGTCTCTCAAGCGTAGTGCGGCCCTTCCCTCGAGCCAGGGCCTTCGTCGAAGGAGGCCTTGCGAAGTAGAAGGCCAAGGGCTCCCACAGAGCCCTTCTGCCTGGGTGTCGCGTGTAGTTCTGCGCTCAGTCTCCGCGTTAGGATGGAGGGGAGCCGCGTTCCTGGGCTACATGTCCTTCCCTGCCCCCAGGAGCCCGGGGGGATTATCCAGGCGGGCCGGGCATGAGCCCTGGGGTGGCGGTGCCCGCAGCTGGCGGCGACCGGGCCTCACGGGGCTCTTGGGCGGCGGGGTCGGGTCGAAGTGACCCTCAGCGGCCGAGTCTGCGGTTGCCCCAGGCGAGCCGCGGCGGAGGCGGGACCGGGTCGCCAGGCAACGGCGCGGCAGCCGCCAAGCCCCGCCCCCACCCGAATCCGGCGGGCGGGGGCGCGTTCCGCAAGCGCGCGCCTCCCCCCGCCACGCCCTTGTGACGGCACAGGCCGGCGCCCGGGGTGCGCATGCGCAGATCGCGCGTACGGGCCGGGAAGCGGCGGCGATGGAGGCGAGGGGCTCGGCGGGCGGCGGGAGGCCCGTGAAGGGCATCCTCAAGAACCGCTCCGACA